TGCACCCCTTAAGTTGTAGAAACCTCCAATTTACTCCAAAACTTGTAGAATTCTCTTTATTGACTCCAAAAGATTGGAAAAACACTCAAAACAATTAAGATAGTTTGCAACCTATCCAATTGTGTAGCAATGGACTCAATCTTGAACACTTTGATCAAATAGGCCGTCCATTCAAGAACCTAAATGACTCTTCTCACTAGCTTTGATCAATGATCTTCATGGAGCACACAGAGTCAAACTCTCTTGATACTCTTCAACACTTATTTCCATGAGGTCTTCATCTCCTTTGGTTTGAACCCCAAACTTAATGACATTCTCTTCACCTTGATCATAGCTCTTTTGAACCAACTCCCTATCACATAGGCAGTCAAGATCCATCCTTTCTTCCTTGATTGGTCTGCAAAGTAAACTTGGCATTCCAAAACTAGAATGAAAGACTAGCTCATTCCCCTCACTAGGAGAACCTTCATGGAAGGCTACATGATTCTCATCACTTAGGTTACCGGTACTTTATTATTTTTATTGATGACTTTAGTCGTTTTACATGGATTTATCCACTTACTAATAAATCTGATGCCTTTCATGCTTTCCAAAATTTTAAGTCATTTACTGAAAATTGATTTTTCTACTAGTATCAAATATTTTCAATGTGATGGTGCTCCCGAACTTGTTAAAGGTGTTTTTGCTAATTATCTTCGTAATCATGGTATTTCTTATCGCATCTCTTGTCCCCATACTCCTCAACAAAATGGAGTTTCTGAAAGAAAAATTCGTCATATCACTGAACCGGGCTTACTCTTCTTCTTCATGCTTCTCTTCCCAAATCCTTTTGGGTTGAAGCTTTTTCCACTACCACCTATTTAATCAATCTCCTTCCTACTCAAGTTCTTACTAATAAATCTCCTCATGAGGTTCTTTTTTCCAATCCTCCCTCCCTCTCTCACCTTCGTGTATTTGGGTGCACTTGCTTCCCATTTCTTGGGTCTACTCGTGCTGACAAATTATCCCCAAAATCAATTCCTTGTGTCTTTTTAGGCTACTCTTCCCAACACAAGGGATATCGTTGCTTTGATCCCAAAAGTTCCAAACTTTACATCTCTCGACATGTAAGGTTTCTTGAAACTGATTTTCTTTATGCTACGTCTCAAACTTCTACGTCCTCTCCAACTCCATCATCACGGGTGTTGCTTCCTTTACCAATGTCTATTCCTCCTCCTTTTGTACCTTTTTCTAATCCTACGACACAAACTCTTTCTTCAAGAAGGCTTTCTTCTCCACCACCATCTAATTCCCCGCCTATACCACCTCCACCACATCCTAGTTCCTCGCCTAGACCACCTCCACCACCAAGACATCACATGAGCACTCGTACCACAACTCGTAAGTCTAACCATTTAAATGATTATGTTACCTATACTTCCTCTCTTACTTGTCCTCCTGAACCTGACCCCACCTCTTTTACTCAGGTTAATAAATTTCCTCACTGGTGTCAAGCTATGCTTGAAGAGTTTAATGCTCTTCAATGTAATCAAACCTGAACTCTAGTTTCTCCTCCTCCTAATGCTAATATTGTGGGTTGTAAGTGGGATTTTTCGAACTAAAAGAAAATCCGATGAGACTCTTGAGCGCTATAAAGCTCGTTTAGTAGCTAAAGGCTACCATCAATCTCCTGGCATAGATTACACAGATACTTTCAGCTCGGTAATCAAACCCACTACCATTCACATTGTCATCACCATTGCTCTTAATCGAAATTGGCCAATCCGTCAACTTGATGTGAACAATGCCTTTCTCCAGGGTAATCTTCATGAGGATATATATATGAGTCAACCCTCAGGCTTTGTTGATCCAATATATCCATATCATGTTTGTCATCTTCACAAAGCTTTATATGGTCTCAAACAAGCTCCTAGAGCCTGGTTTTACCGTCTTAGTCATAAACTTCATACTCTTGGATTTATTTCCTCTAAATCTGACACTTCTCTCTTTATCTTGTCTAAGTCCTCACACACTACTTTTGTTCTAGTTTATGTGGATGACATCTTGGTGACTGGTTCCTCTTCTTCCTTCATTCAATCTCTCATTGATGAGCTTCATTCTACCTTCACCATCAAAGATCTTGGTTCTCTTCATTATTTTCTGGGTATTGAAGCTCAATCTACATCCACCGGTCTTCTTCTTTCTCAATCTAAGTATATTCAAGATCTCCTCACTCGCACTCACTTCGACACATCCAAACCCGTCTCTACCCCCATAACCCCCACCTTACCTCTCTCTAAAATGGTGTACCTTTATCTGACCCTACAGAGTATTGTCGTACTGTTGGTGCTCTTCAATATCTTTGTGTCACTCATCCTGATATCCAATTTGCTGTTAATAAAGTGTCCCAATTCCTCCAATGTCCCACTGATATTCATTGGTCAGCTGTTAAGCGTATACTTCGTTACCTACGTTCTACCCCCTACCCATGGCCTATATCTTACAAAGAGTTCCCCGCTTTCAATTACTGCTTTTGCTGATGCTGATTGGGCTGGTTACCCTGATGACCGCCGCTCCACTTCCGGCTATTGCATTTTTTTGGGTTCTAATCTCATCTCTTGGAGTGCTAAGAAACAACCGACTGTTGCTCGTTCAAGTACCGAAGCAGAGTATTGCCTGTCTTGCTCTTGTTGCAGCTGAATCATGTTGGCTTTCTTCTCTCCTCCGTGAGCTTGGTTTGTCTTCATCACCTCCTACTCTTTGGTGTGATAATTTAGGAGCTATTTACCTTGCTACTAATCCAGTATCTCATGCACACACCAAACATATTGAGATTGATATTCACTTTGTTCGTGATTTGGTTCGTCAAAAAGATCTTATTATTCAACATGTTCCGTCTGCTGCCCAAATTGCTGATATTATGACCAAAACTCTGCCTATGAAGACTTTTCTTCAACTTCGGGACAAGCTCATTGTTGTTCCGCCCATGAGCTTGCGGGGGGCTGATAAGATTAGTCAAAGATCTCATTAGTTAGAATTATTTAGATTCTATTTGTTTAGATTATTTCAGATTTTATAATATCTGGATCTTAACTAATGTTGATGTGTGTCTATAAATAGAGGCAATGTAATGTACAGTTGCACACAATACAATTTATGATTTCATCTTCTTTCATGAATTTATTTCTCATCAGGACTATAATCCCATTAAAATTCCAGATTCCAAAGTTCAATAAGAGGGTATATAAACGGTGTAGCACTAACTATTCGATGCAAGCATGCAATCAAACACGTCAAACACTGCCTGCTAGCTCGTTCTAAGATAGTAGATAACAATATTACTCCTTTTTGTTGCAAAGCTTGAGGTCGACTACCTTAAGAAGAACATCTTCAACAACCTGAAAAAAAATAAAAGCAATGTTGGAACAAAATGATCAATGCTAGTTCTAATAATGTTATTAAATACATAATCCACAAAAGGGGTAGTTAATTACTCCATCTGTCTTGAAATTATAAACTAATTTAGATTTTTTATTTTAATAATTAAATAAAAAAATCCAAATCAGATAATAATTTTGAGACAACGAGAATATTCTCTTATTCAAAATATACTCAGAGCAGCTACCTTGTCAGGAGTGGATGCACCAGATGTAATACCGATCGTAATTGGACCTTCCGGTAAAAAGTTCTCTTTCTCCACATACTCTCCATACCGTTTAGCAGGGATCATAGAAATAAAGGGTTAGAAACTTGTAAAATTGGAAATTAGCTTATTTTTTTCTCCTATAAAAAATAAGCTACGCCTCTTGAAAATATGTTTCAAGAATACCGAGGGGATACAACATCCCCCTCTCTTCAAAATGATTTTCCAGATAGGTTGAAATAAAGAGAGTGATTCCGTATGAGAACAGTGAATTTTACCGCACCATTAGTTTATAAGAAACTTTGTTTCCGGGTCCAATTCTTTGCTCGCTGTCGATCCAATATGATGGAATTCCACGCTGCTCAGCAATCTCTTGTAAATGTCAAGTGTTGCTGGAGTTCCACCCTCCAACGAAAAGCATCAGAACTAGTGGTTTCTCCACCAACTCATACATGGCGTCTTGTCGCTCCTGAGACAATTAATTAATTCAGTTGAACTATTATTTCCCTCTGTAAAAAAAATATAATAATTTTAATACTCACCGAAATTATTTTTTAAAAAGATAAATACGTTTTATGTACAAAACAGCAATTTTATTTGTTAAACTAAGTCAATACATAAATAAGGTAACTTATCATATTAGTAATCGCTAACAACTTAGGGGAAGGGCTTACAAGGCAACTTTTTCCATAATTCCCAAGTCCAAACTGCCGAATCGGCTGAGGAAGAGATTCTAAGCAAATTAATTAATGTCAGTGTGTACTTCTTACAACAGTGTCTTATATAGGAGCGGGTGGCCTATTATCCAATTCTAGGACACAAATAATTCTTCAAACGACATGGTAGCAACCAAACTAAAATCATCTGCAAACACGTGCGTTAAATAAGATTGGTTTACTAGATTGACTTTTTTGAGCGAAAAGACGGAGGAACAACAAAAACCAGAGTTAGAAGGGCCACTTTCTAGCCAGAGAGAATTGTGCATATTTAATTTAAAATTATGTTTACTAGCTTAGATTGAGAAAGGGTTACTTAATTTGTCACAAGCAAAAAGAAGAAATGAAAGAAAAAATGAGAAAGGGTAGTCGGTACCTGAATTAAAACTTGTAGATCAAGCTTGCTTATCTATACATACATATATATTTTCAAAATAATCCCAAACTTATTTTTAAGAAATTATCTCAGCTAGGCTTAAAAAATTGAAAAACACTTAAAGACGAAGTATGGCAAAGTACGTAAATAATAAACCTAAATGTGCAAAGAGTCAACTCTCATCTTTTCCTTCGGTTGGAGGAGCATGAACAGAATAATGAAATGAGAAAAAGAGATTACAATTATAATCAAGAGGAAAAAACAAAAATATGGAACCTGAGTTGCGTTACAAATAGTGTTGAAACTTAAGAAGTGGGCATTGATGTTTTCGCCTCCGTACTTTTTCATCATAGTCGTCTCCACCAATTTTCCTGTTAAGTAATCAAAAAAGAAAAAAAGGGTCAGTACTTGGATATAGCATTAACGTATGAAAGTAGTTGGATAACTAACCAATCTCTTCTGTTTCTCCCTTCAACATTGTTGTTTGGTTCGCGATATATACCAACTTTCTCAAGATCAACATCAGGATCAAAACCTTCTGAAACCGCAAGCTCAAATTTCTGTAGTAAAACAACAAAAGATATAAATTATGAAAATAAGAGGGAGTATGAGTACGTATAATTATGACAAAAACTCATTCACAGGCAAAACAAATTACGCACCTTGAGAAATGATTCCTTTGTAGAGCTCGATCCATCCAGCTTACCACCGAGAATGTAATCACAAACATATGTTGCCTGCATATCGATAAATGGCGGATCAACTTGTATAAATAACTGGCTCAAGTTCATAAAGCAATCAATGAACAAGATCATTAATTATTTAGACGTTGGGAAAACTATATATGTACGTACCTCAAACATGTTCTTCACTATGATATACCTCTTGGCATTTGATGCAGTTGCTATGGTCTCTTCATGAGCATATTTACCATGAAGGATTGAAGTATAATCATTTTTCTTATGCTTCTCATAACTGTTCCATACCTTTAACACCGCAAAAACCATTATACTTTCTCCGTCTCAGAGAAATAGTTTAGTTTGAAATTTTTTTAATTTAGTCAACATACGAAATGTACAACTCATTTTATGCCCCTAACTTCTACTAATTCCCTTTCTAGTTATTTTAATAAAAATTAACTACGTATGCATTTATTTTACAACTCAAATTTGATCAAAATTTTTATCTCAAAAAATATTGACAATAGATCTTAATGGAAAGATCTTGTTACGTAGATTAATTTGATATATAACACATTTTTTAATTATTCATGTATTAAAAGATATATAATCATTTGAAAAATGAGAGAAAACTTAAAAAAATGAAAATTAAAGAAAGTGTAACTTGTTTTCCTTACCCCTACTCTTTTGGATATTTAAGTCATTTCAATTCAATTATTTTTGACTTTTGTGAAACTGGACTATTTTTTTGGGACAATATTTTTTATTAAACTGAACTATTTTTGTGGGACGGAGGGAGTAAAATAGAAAGGAAAAGAAATGTTCTTGAGTAATATTGTTGAAACCCTAAAAGTAAAAACCTACTCGAGATGGATTCAAAATTGAGAAAAAAAAAATACCTTTGTAACCCATGGACAAGTAGTTCAACTATTTTCACATTCTTGTGAGTCAAAGGCAACATCTCCCCAACGGCAGCGCCAAACGCAGGCAAAACAACAACATCACCTTGATTAACAACTTCAAATTGTTTCTTCCCATCTTCCACCGGGATGAACTCAACTTGCATCTCCTCCTGTCCTCCAGACGCTGAAACAAATTGCGCAAAAAACTAAATTATAAAATAAATCAAATTTTTCTTAAGACTATGACTAATTATGTGAGTGGAGAAAAAAAAACAAAATCAAGACCTTGTTGACGTTAGGATTGTGAATAATTTCATTAGTGAGCCAAATCTTCTGGGTTGGGCTTCATAAGCAATCCGGACAGCCCTTTCAACTCCCCAACAAAAACCATATGCTTTTGCTAGTCTTACCGTCACATCACCCCATGTAAACTACCATCCATTTTCCTTCAACGTCTTCATGATTTCACCTGAATCATATTTTCTGTCAAAACTATTTACCATCAAATCCCCCGAAAAAAATAAAACAAAAAAATTAAAGATGGAGTGAACAATTTAGACTAAACCAAAACCTTTTTGCCCATATCGGAAAAGTACCCTTGAAATATGATCAAGTCAACAACTACCATATATGAAAATAGTAAGGTAAAAATCGATTTAAATTTTATTCGTTTTTCTAACTACTTCTTGGGCTTAGCAAACGTAAAATTAATATTCTAAGATAAGTAACCAGAATGTCTTACTGTTCTGGTACTCGCGATCCATGGCCTCAAGAGTTTGTTGTTTGTGTTTGGGGAAACCAGTTCGGTTATAATTGTCGCTCTTATTTTAGTCACGCCGGAACTTCTTAGTGTCAAACTCATTGCCGTCCCCGGCCAGATTAGATGAGCACCGAATAGGGACAGGCTTCCATGATTGGAATATTCTTGGCTGAACCGCCGGTAAAGTAATGTCAACCCGGTTAGGGGTGGCAAGATAACCGGAGAAATGCATAGAGATAGCCATGTGAGAAAATTGACGGGCAATAATTAAGATCGGCGCTTGTACGTTAACGAGATTAAGAGACTTGTTTGTTGCTAGTGCATCGTGTACCACGTAGTTAACATTTTATTCTTCTCCTATCTACGAATTCTTGACCTCGTCAAACCTTGCAATTTTTCTTCTTTCTTTTTTTTTCTTTTTAAATTTTAAATAGTTGATGGAATAAACATATTTCACTAACTCGATTTTTATTTAGGACATGTATATCATTATTTCTTTCACTGCAATTGCTATTCCCCATCTTAAGAAAAATATTGCTTTTCACACACCTGTAATGAACATACATTCAATTCTCTTTTCCTTCATTCTTCATAATCTTTGTTTTAAAATCTTAAAAATTGTATTAGGGAATTATCAAATCTGATTCACTTTATCCATTATTACAGTAAAAAAGTGTACAGCTATTTTGTTAGCTTGTTCGGCACGAACGTCCTAGTTCCTATTTTTTTTTTTTTTTGAAAAATACAAATTTTTCATGAATGTCAAACTTCAGCGTCTCGGATTTCAACAAATTGTCGCACAAAGAATCTATCTAATACAGTACGGGATCCCCTTTCTTATCGTAATCTTTTCTCACTTTCTCTCTCTCCCTCTTTTTTCCCCTACTTCATTTTTCTGATTTGTCGTACGAAAAATAGCAATCATTTCGGTAAGTGAGAATGTGTTTTCATTTTTATGATTACACTACAAACCTCTTCTGCTTCTAAATGAATACGTTAATTCGTAATCATCTTAACGCACATAATTTTATTATATCAGTATTGTAGTGATTCAAAAACCAAATCTCGCCATATACATGTTTGTAACAACCGTACCAAATTAGATTGGTACTACTTGTAAGAGATAAAAAAAAACAATGTGTATATGATTTTGAGCTTCATAGGTCACGTAGTATGATTTATTTCTCTATGCAAAAAGGGGCGTTAGAAAAGTTATTGGAGAATAACATAGCAAATATGGCAATGATCAATTCCCGCCAGCAACCAACTTCAAATTTGAATCCACCGACTATAGCAAACGACGATGTTCTTGTTTCCCGCTTTTCTTTTTCTTCAAACACAGAACACGCAGAATTCGTTCACCAGAGCTTGCAACTTGCGGGAGCTGCTGCTGACCTGGAAAATCATAAGGGGCTTCCAGAATCTTCACGTGGGACCACGAGCAATACTTGGAGTCTAGGCGGTTAGAATGTAGATTCTAGAATAAGGATCAAGATTGTAAATTGTAGAGAGCAGGTTTTAGTTGTCTATAAATAAATCTATACTTCTTGTAAATAAGATATAAGAAATATACACAACACAGTTAGAAATTCAGAGAAGAAAGATGCTCTCGTTTCTTGTCATTTCTAGATCTGAGTTTCTCTTGATGGTATCAGAGCAGGTTTATCCTGCCTGATCACCTATCATTTCCGCTATCTTCTTCTCTAATTTTCTTTCAGATCTTCATTTCTTTAGTTTTTTTTTCCGAGTTTTCTTGGAGATTTTGTATCAGATCTGGTGTTGTTCTTGCATAATGATGGAGACCATCTAGCTAACACTAATGAACAGGGACAAGTTGCTGCCAATAATGGAGAAGACGAGCAAGTTGAGGTCGTGAATGCTAATGGAGGATCTAAAGATGCTGCTTTAAAGAATAATCCTTACATTCGTGATCCACTTTCAAACATTGTTAGACCAATGACTCGTGCTAGACGCAAGAGGATGAATGAATCACTTAATAGTTTAATTGTTACTACATGGGCTAAGGAGGAAATTAAGCTTGAAGATTACAAGCCCAAGACTATTAATTTGCTGCAAGTAACACCAAATGGACATGGCCCATTTGGAGAGAAGAATTTCGGCCCTCAATCCACAAAGGGACCGCCGGCCACCTTTCCTCATGTTGGTCGAATTTCTCCCTAAAGTTTAGGGGTAAGATCATTCAAATTTTATCTCTTTGAAAGAGAAGACTTTTATCTCTTTAAAGGATAATATTTGGGATGATTCTTTTATCTTGTTTTTCGAGTTTTCCTACAATAAGGAGTCAGCTTTTGATGTCTACTCAACCGTTGGATGAAGACTACATCAAAATGGATGGCTAAGATCACTCTACAAAGAAGATAATGATAGAGTTTTAACTCAAGGGAGATTCTATCCATTGGAATCTTTCTAAGAGATTATCTCTTTGTATTTTGGAGTTTTAATTATTTCCTACAAGTCTTAAATGTTTTAAGACTAGTAAAAGTGTCTAGGTTCGTTATCTTATCACTTAAGATAACTAGGAGTATTTAGAGTTTGATTTCATTTCAGATTCTTAGAGATAGGAATAGAGGTGAAGAGTTGTGTTCTTCCTCTACTTCTAGGATAGAAATTTCGGCCACCCCTCTATATAAAGGGACCAAAATCCTCTTGTCCAACACCTTTGGTCATTTTGATATTTTCCTGAGTGAAATTGGTTAGGATTTTATTCCTTTCGTGGAGTTCTTGTGAGGACTTCTTTGTTTGGTTGTTGCATATGTGTTGTGACAATTGTTAGACTTATCTATCTTGTTTAGTTCGCTTGATAGTGGCGTCTATAGCATTGGATCTTTCGAATCTTGGTATTTGGGCTCATAGATCTCATATCTATTGGGTTTTCTTACAAAATTTTCCAAAGGGTCTCTGCTTGGTTAGAATTAGCTCTCTTCATTTTTGATTTGGGTTTTTCTACCATTGAACTCGTGAATTGATCCACGTGAGGTCAAATATCTTTTCTTTTCTTTGTTTTTCGTGTGTTCTAGAGTCTTTAAATCCGAATTTTCAAATTCCGCTGCCACTACAAATCTCTGACTTTCCGAACTAGCAAAGTTGATCTTTTCTTAAAGATTGGTTTTGTTACGGATTGCTATCATAATTTTACTCCCCTTCTTTAAGAGAATTCGTCCTCGAATTCAAACCTTCATCAAAATCAATAGGAGATAGGTCAGAAACATTGAATGTAGCACTAATACCATACTCACCTGGTAGCGCAAGTTTATAAGCGTTGTCAATGACTCTTGACACTACTTGAAAAGGTCCATCTCCGCGAGGATGTAACTTCGATTTCCTAGAGTTTGGAAACCTCTCTTTTCTCATATGTACCCAAACCCAATCACCTGGTTCAAATACAACTTGTTTACGACCACGATTCGCCGACTTTACATATTGTTGAGTCCTACGCTCAATATTGAGGCGAACTTTCTCATGCAGTCTCTTGATTGTCTCAGCTTTCTTAACTCCATCCAAACTAACTTGATCCTTCAAAGGCAAAGGTGATAAATCTAAAGGAGTTAACGGATTAAAACCATAGACAATTTCAAAAGGCGAAAACTGAGTAGAAGAGTGAACAGTTTCTATTATAAGCAAATTCAGCAATAGGTAAGCACTCTTCCCATCTCTTCAAATTACTCTTGATGATCGCTCTTAGGATAGCTCCTAAAGTACGATTCGTCACTTCAGTTTGACCATCAGTTTGTGGATGACTAGTTGTGCTGAATAACAACTTAGTACCCAACTTTCTCCACAACGATTTCCAAAAGTAGCTAAGGAACTTAACGTCCCTATCACTAATAATTGTTCTTGGAACACCATGAAGTCTTACTATTTCTTTTAGAAACAAATCCGCAACATGACGTGCATCATCTGTTTTTCTGCAAGCAATGAAATGCGACATTTTAGAAAATCTATCCACAACTACAAAGATAGAATCCATACCTCTTTGAGTTCTTGGTAAACCCAATATAAAGTCCATAGATATGTCCATCCAAGGTTGTGTAGGGATAGGCAATGGCGTGTAAAGTCCATGAGGAAGCGATTTGGACTTCGCTTGTTTACACTCCACACATTGATTGATGATAGTCTAAACGTCAGACTTCATTTTGGGCCAAAAGAAATGCTGTTGGAGCACATCCAAAGTCTTAGGTACACCAAAATGTCCCATTAAACCTCCAGTATGCGCCTCGCGTATCAAAAGTTCTCGAAGTGAACACTTAGGCACACAAAGTCGATTTTCTCGAAATAGATAACCTTCATGTCTATAAAACTTTTCAAAAACACTTTGCTCACAAGCATTAAAAATATTAGCAAAATCAATATCATTAAAATATACAACAACAAACTTACCAATATAATTCCTCAAAACATGATTCATTAATCTCATGAAAGTACTAGGAGCATTAGTTAACCCAAAAGGCATCACTAACCACTCATATAAACCAAATTTTGTTTTGAAAGCAGTTTTCCATTCATCTCCTTGTCTAACTCTTATTTGATGGTAGCCAGATTTTAAATCCACTTTAGAAAAGATAGTAGCACCATAAAGATCTTCAAGCATATCATCTAATCTAGGGATTGGATGTCTATACTTAATAGTTATCTTATTAACAGCACGACAATCTATGCACATACGCCATGTATCATCTTTCTTAGGCACAAGTAAAACAGGAACAGCACAAGGGCTGAGAGATTCTCGAATTTGACCTTTAGCAAGGAGTTCTTCAACTTGCTTTTGTAGTTCCTTTGTTTCCTCAGGATTTGCTCTATATGCAGGTCTATTCGGAATGACTGCGCCAGGAATTAGATCAATTTGATGTTCTATTCCTCGTATAGGAGGAAGTTCATTAGGCAACTCCTCAGGGAATATATCCTCGTACTCTTGAAGTAGCCTTTGAAACACCTTAGGCAAATTGCTAGGAACTTCGGTTAGTAAAACAGAATTATCACGAAAAAGCATTAAAATCATACATGTTCCTTTTGCAAAACACTTCTCCACCGATTTGGGACTAGCGAAGAAATTGTTGCCCACTGGTTCTCGAATTTGTAGATCATTTGAAGATCTCTTTGGAACGTCCAAAGTAGATTCATCTTTAGGACTCTGCTCTTTCATTCATTTCTCTCTTTCTCGCATCATTCTCAGATTACATTCTTGAACTTGAGGAGGTGAAAGAGGTTTCAGGGTATAGCTATGAC